AGGTGAGCAAGTCCGCGGAAAATCTGTCGGCGAGGGCGAAGGTATCGAAGAGGCATCGGGAACCCGAGAGGTGGAAGTCGGATATCTCTGTACGAGCCACGACGAGAGACGAATGGACCAATACCTCGCCCCCTCGAGAAAGCCCCGCGACGTTCTCGCCCAGGTCGGAGAGCGTGTCCGTCCAGGTGCAGACCAGCTTCGAGAAGGAAGAGAAGGAGGAGGAGGAGGAGGAGGAGAAGCTAATGGCGGGCGGTGCGAGCTCGTTGGAAGCGTCGAGGGAACTGGATAGCTCGAGGGATCGTGGCAGAAGATCGTTCTTTAAGAATAGAAGATTCGGTTCGAGGGACAAGGCCGGCTTGGACGACTTCTCGATGACTAACGCGACCCCCTCCGTGGAGGGATCCAAGGATGATGAGGCGCGTCTATTGAAAATATCCAGTTTCGAGGAGGCGGACGAGGAGGATTACGAGAGGATCAAGAATATCCTGTCGGACTCGGAGAGCGAGAAGCGGTGGAGGGGGAAGGGATACAAGTCCTTGTCCTCGCTCGAGGACGAAGAGTATTGGGACGCGGAGGATGTGAGTGCGGGAACCGGGCCGATACGATACTCGATACCGGATCCCGATCGAAACAAAGCTTTCTGGGTAAATGACGCATATCGGAAGCTCCTCCCGTCTCTCTCTCCGGATACACTCGTTAGTTGCACCCAATTATTTACTCGCTTAACGACGAAATACTACTCCCCGTAACACGCACGCACACATACACGTTTCGAATCCGTGCTCGCTCGACCGAACTCTCCCTCCCCCTTTCATCAGGGAAACTGTAATTAATCGTAACTGAAAGATCCATTGCTCCTTAAACTTTCTCGAAGAACCACGCGTTTCCTTAATAAAGAAGGTCTCGTTAAATTTTTAGGTGTACGACCCGAGCGTGTAAATAAATCGTGTTCCACGAAAAACGATCGACGCAAACGATCGCCTAGATCTCCGAATTCCTCCGAGTATCGTTTATCCGACTTGGACAGGGCGAAACGAAGGGTTTTGGTCGCGGAGAAACGAGATCGGCGAGATCGGTATCGAATTTGTTCCGCGAAAAGGGAAGAGAAAGGGGAGAGAAAAGGGAGGAAAGAAATGGCGAGTCGCGCAAGGAGAAAGAAAAGAACGGTGCGGCACGACGCGTTGCGCAACGTTTCGCAGCCTCGACTCTCTCGCCGAGGCCAATGCCGAGACCCGCCGCTATTGTTGTTTCCAAAGAAGTTGGGAAACGCTTGGAATAATAACTCACTCACTGGCCGAAGGGAGGGGGGAGGAAGAAATGCGACGGGGGCGTGGAAACGAAGGCGATATTCCCGATATTCGCGACGGTGCGAAACACTCGCGGTGGCGTTGGTTCGTTCATTGGTGCCGTGTGCCTCGCGTGGGGTCTCCCAAAATATCAATCTCCGCTTGCAAATAATATCGTGTGTATATGTATATTATATACGTATATACATATATCGCATTCGCGTGTTTACTAGACGCGACAATTTTTCACTGGATTTTTCTTTCCCCGCTAGAACTCGAGCGATCGAATTTTCTAAGAGAATTCTTCTCTGCAAATTTCTTTACAACGATCGTCCTATGTTACGACGATCCTGTTAAAATCGGTAACCATCGACAACAAATGGTAACAAATATTTCTCAAAAAGGATATTTTCCTTTCCGACTTCTGGATGTATCGACCACTACGTATACGTATATACATATATCGCATTCGCGTGTTTACTAAACAATTTTTCACTGGATTTTTCTTTCCCCGCTAGAGCGATCGAATTTTCTAAGAGAATTCTTCTCTGCAAGTTTCTTTACAACGATCGTCCTATGGATCCTGTTAAAATCGGTAACCGCCGATGGTAACAAATATTTCTCGAAAAGGATATTTTCCTTTCCAGAAGCCGTCTTCTGGATGTATCGACCATTACGAGAGAGCGGTATCAGCGGCGGTAGTAGTCCACTAATTTTGGTCGACCCGATTTTTCACCGGGTGTTATATTTTTAATCGGCCCTCTTCCGGACCCCTCGACCGATATTATGTTACCGGCCGCCGCGATTCCCAAACCGCGTGGGCGATCACGTCCTCCTGTCGCGGCCGATTTTCATTTCCCAGGCTATTTATAAAGTCGGCCGGCGTTCCTCGAATATCTCCCCGATGGAGGGACGCGATTTTACCCGTGAAATCGAGCGATTACGTTAGCGAGGAACGCGATCGCGAAAACCGAAATACGCGGATGACTGGCCGCCGCTACGGTTTTGACGATCGGTTTAAAAGGAAAACCGGTTAGAGCGTGGGCGGGTATTGGAGATGTGCGAAACATTCCGACCCAATTACAACAAAATGTGGATTTTCTTATCTATTTTTCCCCAGTTCTATTTCTCCCCCTCCCCTCCAACGTCAACGAGGAACCACCTGTTTGGCACGGGATCAATCCTGTCGTCACTCCGTCGTTCGATGTTTCCTCGGAATCGATGGTCGATCGCGTGCCGCTGACGCGCCGTCCATTTCTCTCCCTCCCGAATCGATTTTCGGGATGATTACGTTTTAGAAATGACTTTATACACTACAGATTGTGTACGATATATCTGTAGAGTCACGCGTGCCAAATTCCATAACGCGAGATCGTTACGATCTTTCGGGTGAAAAGAATTCGCTTCCATCGATTAACACCCGACTGTTATCGTGTATGATCGATTTATACATCGTGTATAATCAATTTATTCGATTTCGATCGTTCGTCGAAATTTTATCGCGACCTTATGAATTTATTCTCACGATTCGAAGTCGGGAGAAGCGATCCGTAAAAGAGGACGATCTTCTTCGAATTCCTGGTGAAAAATTTGGGGAAAAAAGAAGAATTCTCTCGTTAAAGGAGTCGAGAAATATATGTTGATCGGGGGGATAGATAAAGAAACGCGAGGAGAGAAAAGAGAGGTGAAAAGGAATAGGAATAGAGGGGAGTCGGGGATTTAACCTGTAACCCGGTAACGAGACGACGAATGGAATGGAATGGGAAGGAGAAAGGAGAGGCGAGAGGGAGCGTCGCGAGAGAAAGAGGGGTGTCGTAGAAAAGTTGCACCCGGCACACTGCATCGAGGAGAGGAGGAAGGAGTAGGAGGATGAGACGCAGAGAAGAGAAGAGAAGAAGAAAACAGATGTGGAGGAGGAGGGTGGTGGAGAGAGGGTGGCGGACGCGCGCGGCGAGTTTCTGGAGTCGTCGGGACGCCGAAAATAGCGTCCCGATATGATGACGCCCGGAGCGCGCCGATCCTAGATTTCAGTCAGTTTGCAAGCTCGAAAGCTGCTGGGTACACGCGGAAACACTCCGAAGCCACGCTCCTGTCTCGCATTTCCCGTACAGCCTACCGATCAACCCCTCTCTCTCTCTCCTCTATCGAGCCATCTTCTTCTTCTTCTTCTTCTTCTTCCTCTTCTTCCTCCTCTTCTCGTCATCTTTTCCCTCTGGACGTCCCGGAATTCCCGGTTTTTCTCTCATCTCGCTCCTCGTGGAACGGTAGCCGAGACCATATATCCTTCGCGACATCGCGGTAAACACGCGCGGAACAAGCTCGAATTAAAGCACAGCGATGGCGGACGTAGACAGTGTAGTGTACACGACCACCGAGCGTAAGGTTCGCAAAGTGAAGAAGACGACGAAGCGCAGGGAGAGCCACGATCAGAACGCCGAGGTCACGATCACCGAGGTCGACAGCACGCAGAACAATCACCACGCCATCGAAGAGTATGTGCTGGCTGCAGATCTGACTCGGATCGGCCCGATCACGTTTTTTTCACGACACCCCTCTTCTTCTTCTTCTTCTTCTCGTCCACGATCGCGACCCTCGTCGAGCGAGGCTCGTTGGCTCGTGTCACCCTTATATTTTTGACGAGTGGAAAAGATCCTTCTTTTCTCTTGTCTCTCGTTGCACGGTGAAAATTATATACGTAGAAAAAGGAATCGATGGAATGGAAAACGCGAAAAACAAAATGTTTTGGCCGCGAGCTTTTATTTGTCTCCTCGCGTTCGACCTACTTTCCTCTCTACCCCGATAAATGAAAATTGAAAAAGCTTCGTTCGCCAAAATTTTTCACTTCGACTTTACAATCCCGACGATTATTATTTTCGATCTCGCCAATTTTTCTCGAATTCTTCGAAAATGAGCTTAAACAGAGTTTCGGGAAATATTTCAAAGTAAGTGGAAAAAAAAAAAAAAAGATCGTGGGGGTGACCGAATGCCAACTTCTCGCCCCCCGAGGGGAGGCTTCTCTCACAGGAGCAAAGATCTCCGCGACGCGAGATCCTCTCGATCGTCTGATCGAGAGGGGGTTGCTTGAAACGATACACGATACGAAGCATTTTCTTTATTATACGCCATACTATGTATATATATATATATATTGCTCTCCCGTACAAAAAATACTCAGCCAGCACATACAACAGCACTCAACCAAGGTACATATTACCAGCAAATCTATCGAAACACCTTGTACGCAAGATACGCGAGACACCGCGGCGACGAGAAAAAAAAAAGAGAAAGAGATAGAGAGAAAGAGAAAGAGAAAGAGAGAGATTGCGAGGAACTTTGCGGGGCTCGGTGGTAATTTCGTGAGACGAAAACGCACGCTGTGAGAGGAGCGTATCTGGAAATCATGTAACTCGCCACACACGTATCTCTTGAAAAAAAGATCCTAAGATCCGCGTATCGTCGAGTTTTTCTTCTTGTTGCTGTACGAATTCGAAACGAGAGATTCTACGTTTAATCGTTGCCAAAAGAAAAGAAAAAAAAAAAAAAAGAAAAAGGAAAAATTGTCGCGGAAGAGTCGCGTCGTTTTTTCGAATCGATTTTCTTTTTTTTTTAATCGGGGGATCGGGTCTAACGAGAAGCATTCCGAGAGGAGAAATCCGGTTTCAAATGATTTCGATCGTATTCTAAATTGTCCGCCTTCTTTTCTTTCCTTTCCAGTTGATTTTCAGTGGCGAGTACACGAAGGCGATGAGCAAGGATTGGCACAGCGGCCACTTTTGTTGCTGGCAGTGCGACGAGTCTTTGACCGGGCAACGCTACGTGCTGAGGGACGAGCACCCTTACTGCATCAAGTGCTACGAGAGCGTATTCGCGAATGGGTGCGAGGAGTGCAACAAAATCATCGGCATCGATTCCAAGGTACGATACTCCTCCTCAACTCGATAATTCCTTTCTCCTTTTCGATTTCGAAATATCCATTTTTTTCTTTCCCTTAATTTTCTCAGTTACGTCGTAACTTCGTTAACGCGCCCGATGGAAATAGATCTTTCGCGAGACGACGACGATTCGTGGATTTGGATACGATCCAAACGAGAGCAGAAAACGAATCTAGTTTTCCCCTAAATTTAGATTCGCGGCACACGGCACTGGTTGATCGATCGGTTCAGCTTCTTCGGCGCGAGGAAGATCGAGAGAGAGAGAGAGAGAGAGATCTTTTCGAGGAATTTCCGAGAGTGTCGCGCAAAAAATCGGTAATTATCAGTTCGTGTGTAACGACGAGGTGGCGATACGAGCATGGGCGTTGACTTACTCATTCCTAGAAATAGAAACGATGATGCAGGTGCCCGTGTTCGAAGAGATTATTTCCGTTTCTCTCGTTGCCTCCTGTCGTTGTTATTTCTTGTCTAGAGGGAAGCCAGAAATCCAGCTTGAAATGTACGGATCTACGCGTAAATTTTTTTCTCTAAACGCAGGCCCTCCTCCAAACAAATTCCTCGATTTTAAAAAGAAAATTTACTTTCACGCAATGGACGAAACGTGTGTCGCGTGTCGTCTCCTCGGCCCGACTAACGAGAATAAACACGATTATTACGACGCTTCGTTCGCGATTGTTATTAATCCTCGAACGAAAACACGCGTATTCGTATTCGTATTATACAATACAAATAAACGCGTTTAAACGAATGTCGTCGAAACGAATGTTTACAATTTCGAATTCGAACTTTATACTCCGCCGCGTCGAAATTACAGGAAATGGATCGTAAAAACGTAGACGTAGCGTAATTTCGTTTCCTTTGAGCGACATCGAGTAATCGACAGATCCCCCTCCCTCCCTCCCCCCGTTCCATCGCATTCCACCGCATTCGTTTCTTTTCGAAACGAATGGCCGAGAACGAAGGATGATCCCCGAATGTGGAAACGAATGTCTTCGTTTGCAGGATTTGTCGTACAAGGATAAGCATTGGCACGAGGCCTGTTTCCTGTGCAACAGGTGCAGAGTGTCCTTGGTGGACAAACAGTTCGGTAGCAAGGTGGACAAGATCTACTGCGGGAACTGCTACGACGCCCAATTCGCCAGCCGTTGCGATGGATGCGGCGAGATCTTCCGTGCCGGTACGTAACCCCCTTTCCTCCTATCTCTGCTCGCAAAAATACCTCTATCCTGTCGCGAGCTTCGTTCCAAAAAACTCTCGAGCGACTGTCGGTTAAAAATACGATCCCGAAATAACCCTCCACGGCCACCACCACCACCACCACCACGCACGCACGCACGCCACCATCGCGAACGAGAGAACGTTCTCTCCTCCCGATCGAAACGAAACCACCTGTTTCCGCTCACCCATCGACGATGAATCACCGATCCCGACCGAATGCGAGGAGAGCTACGATGCAACTCTCGTTAAGGGAACCGAGTCAAGGCTCGGCCTTCCTCGGGGCTTCTCGGCCCAATTATCGCGAGAAGCGAACGCTCTCCTCCCCTCCTCTAATCCTCGAATCGAAATATCATCTCCAAACGATAAGGATGGAGAACATTCGGATCGAGGCACGCGTTTATCCGCATTGCCGCGCGAATCGAAATATCATCTCCAAACGATAAGGATGGAGAACATTCGGATCGAGGCACGCGTTTATCCGCATTGCCGCGCGAATCGGCAACCTTCGAGAACGCGAGACGGCGCGGCGGAGCGCCGCGACCTATATAACGCGCGTGATTCACCTTCCATGCTCCAGGCCACTTTCCAACTTAATTGGAAGGCAAGAGAGCCTCCCCCCGAATTAACGAGCCGATTCACTTTTCGCGATCCGCGGCTCGGGAGCCCGACTATTCTTCCACCTTTCTCTCTTTTCTGCGCTCGAGGGCAGCTACTTCCGGTGAGAAATTACCGGGCCCGAGGTAATTCGGTCAAGTACGCGCGGGTCGAGATAAACGAGACGCGGTGCAAAACGTGCAGAAACGAGATTCCAGTGAATACGAATAGTGAATTGTGCTGTATATTATCGTCGGAAGATTCTAAGAAGAGTTTACGAGGACGACTTGCGTGGGAGTCTCGTTAAATCTTGGGAGAGAGAGAGGAAGATAAAAGCTACGTGGAAATGGATGTTCGATCTACGTATTCTCGACTCACTTTTGGGGGAACGATTATGCAACGTGTAATACGTTCATCGATCGTGACGAGGAATATGGATTTAGAAAGGAATCCTTCGATCCAAGATGGGGGAGGATGAATTAGGATTAAAAGAGATCGTAATGGAAGAGATCGTAACAAGCAACGATGATAACGAGTCAAGCGGATTTTATGGTCGCTCGAGGATCCCCTTATCGAGGAACGTGTCGTTCGCCACGATTCTTTCGATGAATCACGAGCGATTAGCTCGTGACGAGAATACTTTTCCATTATTATGTACCCTTTGTACAGCCGCTAAAAAGATAATCCTCGTCGTCGCGGGAATTCTAACTTCTCCGTCTTAGTAATTACTCGCCTCCTAATCATCGCTTCGTAATCAAGGAACGATACGAGGAATCCCTCTTCCTTTTAACGTCAAACGACCGCCATAATTGAAACGATATCGATTATCCCCCCTCGATGCGTACCAAAAATATCAAAAGTATCATCGAATCGATAAATAAAGTTCGAACCGATTCAAATAAATAAAATCGAACCAAAAATTCAATCTAGATAAATTCTATAATAAAATAATAATAAAAATTCAATCTAGATAAATTCTATAATTATAATCTTCACGTGGCAGAGGATTTCGAATTAAATTCGTCTATGCGTAATTTTATAATTATAATTTCCACGTGGCAGAGGGTTTCGAATTAAATTCGTCTATCGATCAACGCGTATTTTTATAATTATAATTTCCACGTGGCAGAGGGTTTCGAATTAAATTCGTATCTATCGATCGCGTGTGACGATTCGAGATCTCGAAATCTCGAGGAGGAGCTGGTTTTCGTGGCGCGTAAATATATAAATATTCGCGGATGCGTTCCAGGATGGCGGAGAGAGAGTGGTGGAGCGGAAAGGCGAACTTATCAGAGGAGTAGAATACACGTTGCGCGTGCTCGCGGTGTGCACGGCGAGTCCAGCGGGCTTCGGTTGCTTCAGTGGCTCGCAAGACTCCGGGCCAATCGCACGATCGGCCGATTTCTTCTTCCTTCGCCTCGCCCAAGTGTTCGAGTGTGTCGCGAACCGTAATATCGCCCTCTCGCTTTTTCCCTCGCTCTCTCGACCGATCCTCGATAGAAAGAAAGATATTTCCAAGATATTTCTCTTCCCTTCCCGTTCGATCGATCGTTTCTACCTTTTGTTTGAGTTTGAGGAGGATGGCGTGAGCGAACGATTCGGTCAAGTTCTTCTTGATCCTTGACGCGCCGCCTTCTACGTAGTACAGTTTTGAACAACAAGTAATCTTTCTTGGAGCGTGGAGAGTGAGAAATCCGAAAGGATTGGTCGTTTCGAAGTATAGCATCGGAGTTTCGGTGGTTGAAAGGTGGTTGGAAAGGTGAGAAGATAGAGATGGCAACGGACGCGTTGAGCGAACGACTGTCGAGCAAGCTTCACCTGCAGACCAAGACGGTGGGCGAGGACAGGATAAGGAGAGCGAAAGAGAAGGACGAGGATGTCGCGATATTCAGCATGTTCCCGATGGAGGGTGACCCCAAGTTCAGGTGCTGCCTCGGCAAGGATTGCCAGCTCGGCGACCCGAAAAAGGCGGATCCAGGTGACGAGAAATATTCGAGGGAAAGAATACTCGTTACTGTTATTAATATAAAATAAGAAAAATCGATATCACTCTTCTATCTCGCGCATTCCGGATCGGCGTTGGGGAGCTCGTTGCAAAACTTGTCTTGGATAACGCGGGGGCGGCGGATAAGGTCCCGTTCTCAAAGTTTCGCTTAAGGTCGGCATCGGCACGCCGATCGTGGGTCGACCGCGCAATCGGCGATAAATTCGATCGAGTCGAGTCGAATGAAAGAGGGAAAGGGAAAAGAAAGAGGAAAGTAAGAGGAAATTCGAATCGAAACGTACCAGCTCGTATTTCGATCCTCGTGATTCGAGAGATGATCGAAGCAAAAGAGATAATTCGCGTTTGAGAATGATTCGTTAGAGTGGTAACGAATTTTCTGAAATGAAAATTCCGTGACTGGGTCGTGAAGTTGAATAAATAGATAATAAACGTCGCGAATCGAAGGTTTTTTGTCAATCGATCGTGAAACGAAACATCGTACGAGATATCGACAACGTAAAGAAAGAAACGCGTTGAAGGGAGCCGTCGGTGTGTTTGGAGAAGAGAGATAATCGCGCGATGGAGAGAGGCAAACGGACAGGTTTCTTATGTTAATCGCGCGCTCAAGATTTATGATTTATGATGTGCTGCTTCGAGCAACGCGATCGAATGCGTCGTAGGATTATAATAAAAGCGTGGCCGATACTTCCGGCTGCACAACGACTTGTGACACACGTGACACAAGTTAACGAGTTAGCCTTCTCGGTAACCCGTTTAATTTCGTTCCATTCGTTTTCCCCTCCTTCGAGTCGCGTCACGAGTGTTTACACTTTTGGTGTTGCGGAAAATTCGCAATGCAAATCCGCCTGATGAAACGGGGCATCCCTCCTGTGCGTGTAACGCAATATTTTTGTTTGCTCGGTTGCAAAACAGCGTGGAATCCGCTGCGATGCGATTAAATAATGATGTCACTCGCGTTTATCCTCGTCGCGTTCGTATTTCCGACACCGAAAACTCGAATAACGAGATGCCCGATTCCTCCTCCGTCTCCTCCATTTCGATACGCGAATCGAGGAAAAGAAAAAGAAAAGGAAAGGAAAGGAAAGGAAAGGAAAGGAAAAGAAACGAAAGGAAATTCAAAAACTGAGCGGATAAGAATTTTTATTAATACGGATGATGTCACTCGAGCCAATGTCAGATCTTCCTTCCAGATATCGTGCGTCGTAGTAAATCGTACGAATTATCTCCTTTTACGCGGTTTCTTCCCACTTCTTTCAATTTTCCTCGATGGAAAAGTGGAAATTCGAGTTTACTTTTTCCTCGAGCGAGAAAAAGAAAGGGGCTGATTCGAAGGCTGAACAACAACTTTTTCACGTAACGTCGCGTGCAAGATCGCGATTTAAAAAAAATTCGGTTAATTGTCGCGTTCAACGGGAGGAGGAACTTCGTTTCGCTCTCGCGTCGAATTTCACGAAATTCCGTCCCATCCAGGATTGGTCGCCTTAGATCGTGCTTATATTTAGACTCGGCGTGGCCAAGAATCGCGGCCCTCGACGGATTCCTCGAAGCCTTGCCGCGCAAAACTCCCGATTTCGATCTTCCCTTCGATGATCTTCGAAGCGAGCTTCGAAAGAAGCGAGACCCTCGAGCCTGTTCTGAAGAAAATCGTGGAGGAAGGAAGATCGAGAAGAGAGGTTGAATCGTAGATGGAGAACTCGGTTATTATGCCTACGATGGAGAGAGCGTGGAGAATGGTCGAAGGAAAAGAGGTAAGGCGACGCGCGTAACGCGAGATTACCACATCGCCGGCCTTGGACCATCAGACTTTATACATATACGGAGGTATTGCTTGGACGAGGCTCGTGACGTCACGAGCCTCGTCCTGACTCACGGTGGACCATTGGAATCCGCCATTGGGTCGAAAATTAAGCGTTTCCTTAAAGAGAAGCCAACTTCCTCGTTCGAGACAAGAAGAAGAAAAAGTTAAGAAAGCAAGATCTATTATACAGATATTTCGTTACACAAATTTTATTAAAGAACGATTCGTTGTTTGGTGGACGAATTTTAGAAACCTTGTTTAATTTTCCATAGTCTTCACGAGTTCGTTTGAATAATACAACTGTCTCGAATGATTATCTATCCTCCTATCCTGATCGCTATTCCACGTTATTGCAAGAAAAAAAGAAAAAAGAAAATTATCGAAACATGTTCCTCCACTGTTGCAACCCGATTCAACGTTTGTACTTCCTCCCGTGCGCAAATTAGATGTGCGAGCGTGGCATCCAGGTATCTAGATATAGGAGATAAACGAGAAGGATCTCTGCAGGAGAGCGTGTTACAAGGGACAGGCTAATTCGCGGTGACTGATCGACCCGCGATCGTTCATTTGTCAATGCCTCGCGGTGAATGATAAAGCGTTGATCGATATATCGAGATTCCCAGCAAGATGGTCAAATGATTGATTCCCTTCATCTGTCCTGTATCGAACGAATATTCGAAAATCGTAGAAATTCTTACGAAATCAATTTTCGATAAAAAAAGAAAAAGAAGTATAGGGAAAATTTTGTAAAGGGGGGATAAAAAGAAGAAAAATAAGCGTTGTCAGAATCGATGACTCACGATGAAACACGTTGGATAACGTTATTTAACCGGTCAGCTCTATTAGATCACCTTTCGGAATAGCGAGTCATCGTAAACTTTGCCCTTGACTGCGGCGCGGAAGAAAAGAGGAAGGAGCTTCGACGAGCGCGAAAAAGAAATGCGTGGAACGCCCACGAAATTAAAACGTATTATTGAGAGGAGCGAACAATTTCGAATTACACGGTGGAATTACACGCATTTCGACGGATAGAAAACGAAGTATGAGAGATATATCTCGATCGGATGCGGGAGCAAAGTAAGAGGATCGTTATTTAAATGGATAAATATCCTAGTCGAGTATTGGACGAAGAGGCGAGTGGAATCGAACTACGAGCGCAACGAGCCGTTCTATGTAGGTTATTAGCGGCCGTGACTAGAAAGTCTAGGCATAGGAAACATTAAAAACCGCATTGCAGGAGATGACACCTATCTACGCCGGGGATCTTCCGGTTTTAAGCGACTTTTTCCACCTGCCCGCTGAACTTTCTATCCTATCTCTATCGCGTGGAGACACACGAACGGTACAGAGTCACGAAACTCGGTCGAAATTGCTTCTCGCAACCCGATAAGACGGCCAAGGAGGGCCCTGTGAAGGATTATTGTCCGTTGGAACGAAAGGCGAAATTCGAAACCGGTTTAAGTTTCGAATCGAGAAGATTGACTCGAGGAGGAGGAGGAGAAGGAATATCCTTCCTTTATTGCCGAGCCGCGGGAAAATTGATCGAGAATCAGCTCGAGCGCGACACGCGAGCTCGCGAGGCGCCGCACGCGATCTAACCCTCCTTTTCTTTCGAAAAATATTCCGATCCTCTTCCCTTCCCCTCTTTGAAAGCGTGTGCAATTGCAACGGGTGGAATTACGCGCGTCGATCGATATTGGAGGGAAAAATTTTTGGAAGTTTTAAAGAAAAACGGGTCTTTTTGCGTCTTTCCAGGTACGAAGAAGATGGAGTACAAGACCAGGCAGTGGCACGAGAAGTGCTTCTGCTGCGTGGTATGCAAGAACCCGATCGGGACTAAGAGCTTCATCCCGCGCGAGCAAGAGATCTATTGCGCCGCGTGCTACGAGGACAAGTTTGCCACTCGATGCGTTAAATGCAACAAGGTAGAAAGAACGAGCGTAGATTTTCCATATCTCGTGTTTTCGATTATATTAAATCGAACGTGAGCGTTGAGTTGCGGTGACTCGACGAAATGCGATAACCGATAATCGGAGAGGAAAATTTCCTTTGGCTCGAGAGAAGAGATAAAGAGATAAAGAGGTAAAGGTGAAAAGAGATTTTTATCGTTTATAGATCATCACCAGCGGTGGGGTAACGTACAAGAACGAGCCGTGGCACAGAGACTGCTTCACCTGTAGCAACTGTAACAATTCCCTGGCTGGCCAGCGATTCACGTCTCGCGACGACAAGCCCTATTGCGCCGATTGTTTCGGAGAACTGTTCGCCAAGAGATGCACCGCCTGCTCCAAACCGATCACAGGTATCGTTTAATTCTTTTCGAATATATATCTTCCTTTAGGTTCCCATTTCTTTGAAACGGTTTCAGTTTCGAATTCGTTTCCAGGCATTGGCGGAACTCGCTTCATCTCTTTCGAGGACAGGCATTGGCATAACGACTGTTTCATCTGCGCGGGTTGCAAGACCTCGTTGGTCGGCCGCGGTTTCATCACCGACGGCGAAGACATCATCTGCCCCGATTGCGCCAAGATGAAGCTCATGTAAACGTCATTTTGGTGGTGAAAACAACATCGAGCGAAGAGGAAACGAACGAGAAGAAAGGGAGAGGGGGGAAAAGGAATTTGGAGGGGAAAGAAGAGATTTTGATTCAATGGTGTCCAGCTTGTATAACGCGAATATGTATAATATATATCCTCGCTAAGAGATTTTTGCCTTCGAAACAAAGAGAGACTCCGCTTCGGGAAAAGAGAAAGGTAGAAAGTCGATCAATTTTGATGACCAATATTGACGATCGAGTTAAGTTTGTTCACCATCTCTGAAACAGGGAATATCGCGATAAAAATTACCGTGTTTCTCTTATCAATTCGATATTATATTTTCAGGAAATATATATTATATATTGTACGTGTCCATAGTAGAGAAATGCTGTACTTTTTATCGAGGAGGAAGAAAAGAGAAGAAAAAAATCGGATATCCTTCAGCGATAATTTTTTTTCGCAAACGATAGCTCTCTGTTCTTCTCGGTATTTAGTATCGAGTTTTCGTACGCGGTATTTTCTCGAAGCAGAGAACGCGAGTTGACACGGGGGTACTTGCTAGCTTCGTAGTTTTTTAGAAGCCTTTTTTAGTCACATTTGCGATTCCGATTATTACCGATTTCTCCCTCGAACGCGCGAATGATCGTGATCGAGGAGAAGAACCAAGAACCAAGGGTGTTAAACGGAATATCGAACGAGCGCATAAAATATTCGCGCGTTGCAGAAACTTCGAAGAGAGCTGCTTCGAAGAATTCGAGAATCAAATCGCCTTAACGTTACTATTAATGTGGTCGAATTGTTGAAATTATATATATTTGGAGAATGGAACGAAGCTACGTACTGTCGTGATGTTATTTAACGTTATTGTTTTTTTTTTCTTCTTTTCGCTTTGTACACAACGATAGAAAAGAGCGCGACAAGAATAAACGCGAGGAATAAAAATGAAAAAAAAAAAAAAAAAACGAGAGGAAAAAAAAAATAGATGGATCCTATATATTCTTACGGAACTAAATTTGATATATGGATAATATTATTTTTATTTAACTTAACTCACACATAGACACACACAAACATACACACGTATACATACACACACATACACACATACAAGACCGCGAACAATTATACACATACACATTAACGCGATGCCTTTACATGCGCGAAAAAAACTGCACCCTTTTCTCTCTCTCTCCCCCTATCTCTATTTCTATCGCTCTGCGATATTGTACAGTAACAGTCGTGCAAAATTCGAGTATAACGAACGACTAATTAAAACGATGGGGCTCGGGTGCATAGTTGTTGACAACGAATGAAAAATTTTAAAGATTCAAAAAGTTCGACATAAGAGATTTAAATTTACGTTATAGTCCAAAGATTATGAACTAAATTTTTACCTTTCCTATATACTTCCTATTCTTAGAATAATTTTAACTTTTCACGCGAGCCCAATTATATATATTCGCGAATGAGCGATATAAATTCGCGAGCATTTTTGCATCAATCACGTCAAATTGAATAAAAATAATAAAAAGTTAAAATAATAATAATAATAATAATAATAATAAAATAAAATATACAAAAGAAAGAGAAAGAAAAAGAATCACACGCATCTACACACGCATGCCGAACGAGTGTGCTACACGCACACGCGGAAAAAAACACTAATTGTGGCCTTATCCGCACGAGTACATAAAGATAAAAAAAAAAAAAAACTAACGTTTTACGAGAAATTAATTAGTTGTTGATATATATATATATATATATATAAACGGTACTATACGGTAGAGATGTGTTACCGTCGAGAAAAGATAAAATAAATGTGCAAGTGAATGGGCAGATAAACGGTAGCGTACCTCTATATATATATATAAAAAAATAGAAAAAAAAAAAAAAAAAAAAAAAAAAAAAATTATAAGAAGAATAAGAAGAAAGAGCGACAAAAGGATATTATGACGACCAATAAAAAGTACACGTGCTATATAATATATGTTCTTACCGATCACACTCACATACTAATCGCCTTAATTAGTAAACGAGCAGAGATTATTCTATATTCAGCGTATCGTATACACTGTTATACTGTGAAATTGATAAATAAATAAATGTAATTATTTACAAAGACTTTATGATTTCTTTTTATCCATTTAATAACTGAGAAATTCAAAACGAAATAAAAAAATTTTAACTTTAAGCGCTTAGAAGAAAAATTAAGAATCTGGATAAAGATTTACGATGGTAAAGAAGGTATCTATACTCAACATCAGCTGGCAAAGTGCACGCTCGATAGCTCATCGGGTTGCGCGTTACCAGGGGCATTTTAGTTGTACTATTCGACCGCTAGATGGTTATAGCGTTTCTTTTCCGCGAGAAATTCTATCGAATGCAACAAATTGAAGAAAAATCGAAGAAGAATAAATCAAATTTACCCGAGAAAATTTTTTTTAAAACTTTTTATAATTTCTATTCAATTAAATACGAGTATCGCATTTTTCTTTTCTCTCTACCCGATCGAGAATTCTTCACAAGAGAAAACGCATTTCTTTATAGATCTTTTTTCGCTCGAGTGTTCTTCCGCCGTTCAAAGGCAAGGTCGCCTTATTGTCGAAGTTATATTGCAAAGTTCAACGACTCGTCAATATCACCGATCTCACGAGGAACCATAACCCGGACTATAAACTTCTAACGCGTCCCATCCATCCGAGGGGACGTTAACGGGGGTCACGGGAAACGATTTTTCCATCGGGCAGAGAAGGCGTACTAATCGAGAGGGCGTAATATTCGTCGAAAATATATCGAATGAATGAACGTGGGCCATTACGAGAACGATCGCAACCTAACCCGGTGTGATATTAAAAAAGGCGAATTTACGATCTTGAAGATTTGTATCCGTCCAATCTCTTCCCTCGTTCGCGCATAAAACACGTAACAATTACTTCGAAAATTCCATACAGGCAGGTAATTTCGTACGCGTTGAGACGAGCAAGAGTAGTCGCTTAATTAAGACTCATGTAAATCGAGTAACCACGCTACGCCAATTAACTTTACATCGCGAGCGAAGAGGAAGGAAGAAGGAGGAATAAAAGAAAGATCGGAGAACGAATGTTTCGTAAAAACTGCGGACGTAACAAATTGATCGAACCAAGCAACACGCTTTTTTACATAATACAGCGATAGAATGATATCGCTGTATCGGTTTTGTTCGATTAGTTCGATACATTTTTCTTATTGGCGTAATCCATTTCCTGTTTACAACTATACGGCAGGAAAGGTTTAATTTTGAATCAGGATCATCGCGATTTCGTCTTGTTCTGTTTGTAGATTCTTTAAAAAACAAAGATGCAAATATATTATATTGAAATATTTGAAAATTAATGAAATAACGTTTACCAATTATAGATAGAGAAGACTTTAAGGCTTAATTAATATCATTTGATTCTAGGAAAATGAAAAATTTAATAAACCTTTTTTTTTTCCCGCGGCAAACTTCCCGGACAATATGCTGCGGGGGTTGAAGAACGGGCTGGCATAATTCTCTGCCTCCTCTTCTCCAGGTGTTCCGGAGGAAAAAAACTGACACAATTCCTTTTGTCTCCCGGTGACAGTCGCCTCGGACTATATCTAATCTTTTCATTTTCAAATTTTCCAGTTCAAAGGGAACAATGATTAATTTCCTCCTCCGAGGATCGTAATTAATTTTCAACTGTGTCTCGATGATTCTTATCAATTTTTTATTAAAAAAAAAAAAAATTTCGATTCCATTCTCGATCTTTCATAGAGAGGTGGAGAAAAATGATTTCTTTTCTCTCTCGATGGCTGGAATCCTGATTCGACCTTTTTTTCAAGGAAGCTCCGGATTTCGATCCATAAAGGAAATCACGAGCTTCCGTTGCACGTATACACACACACACACACACACATACACAAACACACACACACATGGTGTCGATGCACGGCGAGCCGAGGTGAAGCGAGGTCGATGGAAAGTGGCATAATCGCGGATGTGGATCGACTCAAGGAGAGCAGAAGAGGAGATCCTTTACCTTACTTATGTAACGAGCGGTCGCCGTGTGTCTCGTGTCTTCGACCGAGCACACAGCGACCCTCCTCTCTCTCTCTCTCTCTTTCTCTCCTTTCTTCATCCCTACCCCCTTCAACACGGTAGTTCTCCTTTCCTCCTGTGACATCCATCCTCTCTCTTTCTCTCTGCTCCGTGTACCAGTGTCCCTGAATATCCCCCTCGGTCTTATTAGGTCGCCAATCGTCACCCCTTTCTCCTTCGAATCCGTTTCTAACGCCGTTCTTCCTATTCGCTGCGAACTTCCTTCCTAGAATCAGACAAGAAATGTGGATATTGATGGATGTAAAATTTCCTTCGAGGAAAATAATTATTCGTTCGTTCTTTTCTTTTTCTTCTCCTTCTTTTTAACGACGATGTTTTTTATAGTTAACTCGTAATCCCATCTCGAACAGAACACAGAAGAGTTCGAAGAGATTTTTATTTCTTCCTTCTTTTTTTTTCATGGTCTTGAAGAAACAATTAACCGGATCGCTCATCACGTGATTATGTATAAATGCATTTGTATAAATATATTGTATATGTAGTTAAAGATGTTGAGGACAGCCTAGCCTTTACGATGACCAGGTATAAACGTCGTTCGAGGTCACGGTCGGATGCCAGATCCGAATGGTTCCAAAAAATTTAAACGTTTTCAAAACGAAGAAGACGTGTACGTATCAGAGAGAGAGAGAGAGAGAGAGGAAAGGAAGAAAAAAACGTGATTCGAAAAGACGAAGGAGGATAGCCCGAGTTCGTAAATCACGTTTTCCAACCAACGACAATATCGGAGCAGCGGTGTGCTGTTAAAACGTTCGCGTTTTAGGGATCCCACACGACGACGAAAGAAGGAAAAAGAAAAAGAAAAAAAAAAAAAAGCAATCTCCGTTCCTTCTCGGTCACGAAAGCTGAAAAGCTCCAAGTATATGGAGAAGGAAGAGATTCATTTAACGAGGGTCGTAAAAGTCGAAAGCACGAGGCCGTAAAGACATTATTCCGCGGTGATTTCGGCGGCGAAAACGGAGGCCGGTGTTGTCGGAGGTCATTCGTCGGTTCAACGTTCGGGCCGTTTACCTGGCCACCGCTCCCCGAATCCTTGGTCATTGACGTTTCGCCATGCGTCGCGCATTATTATCATTTCTCCCGCGGCCGTTCGTGTATTTATAGCCGTGCCAAATTTTCCCCCCGCTTCCGACGTCGCGTTATCGCCGTCGCCGTCGTCGTCGTCGTCGGGGAAGGGGGGAGAGAATGAATGAGAGAAAAGAAAAATCTTTAAAACGAGCGAACGAAAAATGTGGATCTGCGGGAGGGACAAGGGATTCGTTCAGGTACTCGTCTTCTTCTCCATCCGGCGAGAAACGAGATCGAGGATCGAAAAACTCATCGATCACGGATCTGATCGAGGATGAGAGAGAGGACGGAGGGAGGGACGGAGGGGAGATCCCGACCGCTTCTTTCGCCAACTTTTTTCCCTCCCCTCCCCCTCCTCCTTCTCCTCCTCCTCCCTTTCGGAACCGCGAGTGCCTTGACCCCGTAAAGAAAAGTGCGAAGGGAAGCGATGACTCGTAATCCGGGTCGCGGCTACCTTGTCCGTCGACTTTCCGCGGTGCGTGTGCCGCTCCTGCGACGGGCAGTCGGGAGGGAGTCGTCGGTTCGCCAGCCAACAGTGACGTAACTTTCTTTATTCGAGCCCTCCATTCACCTCTCCGCGCATCTCGTGACTACTCGTCTCCACACGAGTCGAGAAGGAGGATTCGTCATCAGGAGGGTTCATTTCCGCGCAGCGGAATAAATCCCAGGCTTCTTCCGAGTTCTTCTTTCTAGAAAGGAAGAAAGAAAGAAAGAAAGTTGAAAATTCAAAATTTCAATTCCGTATCTTCGTAACAAATCGAAAATCGCACAGCCCTCCGAAATCTCTCCTCCTCCTCTTCCGATCTCCGTTAGTCGAGCAAGCTTAACGAAGGACGGATAGACAGAGGGAGACCTTCGAATCGGCATTCGATATACTCGCGAGTAAACTCACGCCACTGGAGTGAATCCTCGCGGAGGAAGAGGAGGGGGATAGGAATACCGAAGAAGGAGAAAAGCCTCGTGCGTCCTCGGTGGAGGGGAGGAGCGGATTCCGCGAGGAGTGGAAATAGCTGCGAGAGAACGAGAGAAAGAAAGAGAGAGAGAGAGAGAGAGAGAGAGACGAGCGGCTGTCGAGGGAAGAGGGAGGAGGAAGAGGATCGGAGGGTGGTGGGAGGACGGCGAGGGAGGACGAAGGATGGCGCTGTTGCGAGGTGGTGTGGCGCGAGAGCGCGTGGAGGGGAAGGCGGCAGGAAGAAGGACGAAGGAGACGAGGAAGGAGAAGCGAAGGGAAGAGAAGCCGGCCGGCCGGGAGGCAAGTCGAACGAAGACACAAGTTCATATCCAAGGAGATGTGGGACGATGGCCCGGAGTAACCTCCATCAAGGATGGACTTACATCCACCGACCGACCGACCGCCGGGACTCGCTACTATACGCGAGTCCCATACCTTTCCACCGCCAGTTATGCGAGCCTGGATAATCATCGAGCCGGCCCCGATCCTCCACCGTCTTCCCCGTCCAGGGATCGAGCGAAACCTTGTCGATTTCCTGCTCCCCGCGAGCTTTCCTTCGTTTTCATCGATCGAGAGGAAATCCTGGCGTTTGGAAATATTCGTAATTGGAGATACGTGTATAGAAGGAGAAGAAACGGAAGGAGAAAAAAAATATATTTCGTGGGGAGGGGAGGATTAATTTCTATTCTTTCAGGGCAGTTTGGTAAGGAGCCCAGGATTATTGGACCTGAAAACGTTGATCGTTCGTCGCGACGAGGTCGAGTACGGATGGTTCACGCGTCGATAATCGTAATTCGTTTACTCGGTCGGGGAGGGGGGAAAAGGGGGGAAAAAGCATCGTTGCGTTTCGTTTCGACGGCCGCCCGGAGCGGATAATCGCGCCCAGTTCGGTTGAAATGTGGAACAGGAATCGTAGAAAACGAGGGAAATTCTCTGTTTAACGTTTAGACCATCGATCCGTGCTCGGCTCGCTCCAAATTCGCCCGAAACCGCGCAAAGTCGTCGGGACGGGAATCGCCGATCTTCTCTCTGTGTACGGCGATGAACAATCGAAAGGAAAGTGTTTGGACGCGCTGGGACAGCGAGTCGACGAATCTCGGGGAGCGGTCGAAACGGGACCTCTTAACTTTCGCGTCCACGTCGTTTCGAAACCACGAGTTTTCGTGGTTCGATTGTCCGCGATCGAGCTATGTATCTTCTTCCAACGTATCTAATATAAAAGATCGCGAGAGAGAGAGAGAGAGAGAGAGAGAGAGAGAGAGAGAAGGTAGAGTGGAAAGAGTGGAGGTAGCGAAGCGAAGGGAAGCGCGGAGTGGAAACAATTCCGCGTGGCATTCCGCGAGATGGTCACAGGCCGACGAACCCCGGGGAGCGCGCGCTCGGACAGAAAACGGACGCATACGCACACGTGAAAGTAACAGCGGCGGATCGTTGTGTGCGTGCGTCGTGCACGACTTATGTGCCTGCACCACGTCACATGACTTCGCCTTAACCCAGTGCCGGTGGCAGTTGCCCATGGAACGAGCGCTTTTTGGGTCTAGGTCTATCGAGGGCGTTCACCCCGCTTACGTTGTTAACACACTTACCATACCGCTCGGCGAGGCGCAGCCCAGGCCTCGCGGCTCGCTTCCACCAGACGAGAAGAGAGTAACGTCTGCCTACGCCGCTATGACCTCCGGCCACGTGGTCAACAGCCTTCACTTTTAATCGCGCTCCGCTCGGATCCGCTCGCGTGTGCCCGCCACCTGAAAAATCAACGGGATCGTCAATTCTCTCTCTACCTCCTCCGTTCATTCCCTTCGTTTCGTTTCATTCGTTTGTCTCGAATTTGATTTAATTTACAAAGGGATCCGATTCCTCCTCTCAAATTTTCGCCAATTCTCGTCGCGGAGAGGGGGTCGTTGCCCTCTCTGGGCGAGATTCCCCATCCGCATTGTCATCCTCGCGTCCATCTCCTCCCGGCCGAGGCGAGAAAAATTCGTCCTCGCCGCCCACGCGCCCCTTTGGAAAGCCCAACTTCGCCTCCAGTGTTCTCTAAACAATGGGCCGCTAACGCGCTCGGAAAATTATATATCCTCGAATAGATCGGCTCGAATCGAGAGGGGCGAACGAACCCTCTCTATTCGCCGCTAATTGGAATCGAAGAAGCGATGGGATTCGTAATGGCGAACGATCGATCCTCTTTGTATCGGTTTTACATCCCATTCAACCCGATCGATCGATCGTCGGGTTGGTCCGCTCCTCTCTCGTTTCACCTTCGCTTCGAGCGGCCGCTTAACAGTACATCTTTCGAATGTAAATTCCTCCTCCTCCTCCTCCTCCTCCTCCTCGTGGATCGTGACCGAGGAGGAGTGACGAAATTCACTCTCTCGCGTGGCGGCTCTCCTTCGCCACACGCGGTACTTTCGTTGGCCATCGAGTGGAAAAGTTCCCTAAACGCAATCGGGACAAAACGACTCCGCGGTTACCGTTATTTCTCGCGCCTGCCCGCCCCCCTACGTTCGAGGCCGAGCCAACAGGACAGGGAGGGTGAAAGCCCTACGAGAACGTTCCGACATGAACGAAGGCCGAGCCTGTTCCGGAAACCGTTATCGTTATCCATGGGCGCTCTACGACCGGAAGCTGCTCGCAAGAAAATCGTCCGGGAGGTGACGTCGTTTGGAAAAAAAGAAAATTGACATTCAACTTGTTTTGCATTGAAAAAGAAAAAAAAGCACATCCCCTTCTCCTTCACGCAGTTTCGTCGCTTAGAGAAATCGATAAATAAATTGTAAATATATTTGTCAAATCGTATAAATCGTATAAATCGTATAAATCGTATACGCGATATTCGACTCGGCTTTCCTTCTCACGATCGAGGCGAGGATAAGCATCGCGGTAAAAATAGGTAAAAATAGGTGGAAAATCTCGAACGTTGGAAAATTTCATGGCGGCCATTGTCGCGGTGGCTAGGGGAAGGCTCTCTCGTCTCCTCGACCGTGGCGACTATCGTCGGCCTCGTCTCGTCCCGTATGCGTGCCGCGTACCGGGTGCCCGATGCACATGCACACGTGCTCCGCGCGCACACGCACACACGGGCAGGAACGCTCGCCGCGCCGTTCAGGAACTGCGATGCGTGACCTAGTGCCGTTGCGCCGTTCTACCTTCGAACTAGGTCTTCCTCGTTCCCAACTATGTCCGTACGGCCAGCCAGCGTGCAACGACGGCCGAGAATGCACCGGTGCGACGAGACTTGCCCGTCTTCTCTTCTCTTCCTTCGATCCGATCCTCGATCCACGCGCAAACCTCTCCCTTCCTTCGCGTCCACGTTTTGTTATTTAGAAAAGGAAAGAAAAGGAAAGAATCGCCATTTCCTCGAATTTCCATTTCACGCACAGGTTTCTATCGTACTACTTACGAGATAACGAGTTGCGCAACGCGTTCGTCTTCTTCATCAACGATATACTATACGTATTGGCCGGATGACTGGCCGAAAGGCGTAATATATTTTATAAGACGGATCGTTGTATTAGCATTTTACCGGCCTCGTTATCTCCCTCATAACGAGCCAATGATCCCTGCCAAATCTTAATCGTTCCGAAACTTCGTTCGAGTTTTATACGTATCGTCCATCTCTCTCTCTCTTACGACGTACACCGTAAGGGGCCCCACGTCGAGACTTTCTTTCGAACGAAGAGTATAGGAGAAGGAATTGGAAGGGGAGGGGCAAGATTTCGGGGACCCGATTACGTAAGCCGACACGTTGCGTCCCCTGGGACCGAAGGGGTGGGGAGGGGCCCGTTAGAAGCGGATTTGTTTACGCGCACCAACACCTGCGAGAAACGGAGGAACGGAGGAGAATATCCTCCTGGTGTTCCTGGTAGGAGCGTTGGCCAGGTACGAGAACGAAACGCCGGGTCAACGCCTCGTATACGGAGCAACACACAACTCGCCGACTTTCCGTATATGCCCAGGGACGGTCTGGGCCGAGATTCGTGGCCGAGGCGTGGAGATAGCGATAAAAACGAATGTGTCACGGGAGAATTCCCTTTTCAAACGGCGCCCCCGTTCTCACCCCCTCCCCCCTCCATCCTCCAAGCCTCCTGCGTTTTCTTAAACAACCCGTTTATGCGCGAAAGTAATAACCCATCGGCCGGAAATTGAGTCGAACAAGGAGAAGAAGGAGGAGGAGGAGGAGGAGGAGGAGGAGGATCGTTATCGGTGTCGTTGCTCCTTTTCCCAGGAGGAACCTTCTCCTGCTACTAGCCTTCTCCTGGCTAGAAGTTCACGAATATTTTTCTGGGTCACGGTGTTTCCGTTATAATAGTTGCGTCGCGTCGCTCGATGTAAGCACGAACGAAGGCGTGTTAAAAGGCGCCTTCTTTTTATTATTATTATTATTATTATTATTATTATTATTATTATTATTATTATTATTTTCTTTTTTTTATTTTGCGCGCGCGCGCGCGCGCGTGCATTGCCGGCAATTTAGATCTTGCGTCACGTAGCGAGCGTTTCCTGTGTGCACAAGTGCGGAGGAGGTTTCGTATCGCGATGGCACATGTATTGGCCGCTCGGCCAGTTACGAAATGGCCGGCAGACGAATAATCTCGTCTACGAGATGAAGCTCGGCTCGAAGCGCTACGTCACCCGTACGTCCAGCCGGCTACGACGACGAATTCTATCTACGAGTTTTGGCGAGTTTCAGGGTCGGGACTTTAACCTCGTCGAGCATTGAACTCCGTGCAAGAGAGAGAGAGAGAGAGAGAGAGAGAGAGAGAGAGAGAGAGAGAAAGAGAAAAAGAAGAAAGGCGCACTCGGTCGGAATAGAGCTGCGGTTCCATTTCGATCCTCTTTAGAATGCCGTCGATCTCCGTCGAACGGGATTGAAAAATTGAAACGAAGAATTGGAAAATAATAATTACGAGGAGGTGGACGTCTTTTTCCGCGGCGCAAAAAACTTCCGCGTTGCGTGCGTTTTGCATACAATCGGTAACGCGAATCGAACGGTCGAGAGGGAACCGGTTGTTAAAAATGTGATAAACCGGTCGAAGCGGCGAAAAAAAATCGCTGAACCGTAACCCCGCGATTTTTCGTCCTCGTAAGGGAAAAATTTTTTTCCTTACGAACCGTTGCCGAGGGAAGAGGGAATCGCTGCATCGAATCGGTTAGTCCAAGGACAAATCGTCGCGTCCAATGAAAATTCAAAATTAATTCCAAATTCTGTGTCAAATCTACTACTAGAAGGGTAAATGTAATTTTTGATTCAATTCGAATCTATTCAACTCTGAGACAAAAGGGATATATATATATATAAGAAAAACGGGAAAAAAGGGAAAGCGCGTTGATAACGCTACTCGATCTGATTTCGTATTCCCAATCACGGATACTCGATATCCAGTGTGATCGAATATCGATTCCAGCGTGAGAGAGAGAGAGGGGCAATGTTTGTAAAAGTCATCCTCGAGTCCCTCCGGAGAGCGATGAAAGGCTTGTCAAGTGCGAGGCGTCGATACCGTTCGATTCGCGGTCAAAGCCATCGCTAGGGACAGCCTCGAGGAAGCAGAGCGGTCGTCGACCTCTGAAAATACTCTTACGCATTGTGTGCCACTTCGCTTCTGAGCGGTCTCCGAGCGCAAGCGAGGACGAAGAGAACGGCGTCGTCGTCGTCGTCGTCGTCGTCGTGTTCGTCCCTCGCCTCGAGGCGACCGAGGACGAACCACGATGTTTCCGACTCGATGTTACATTATGGCTCACCCTAGGATTCCACGCAGTTCCCTGCCCACTCCTCTCGCCCCTCCCTTCACCACCAACGCCTCCTCCCTTTCCACTTTTTCCACCTCCTCCTCCTCCTCCTCCTCCTCCTCCTCCACCTTCTGCTCCTCTTCTTCTTCTTCTTCTACTATTTCTTCCTCCTCCTCCTCCTTTTCTTTTTCTTTCGTTTCTCCTTTCAATCCGCTCGGGCCCCAAAGCTAACAGTACTCCCGATGCCTAGCCTAGACAGACGTTGAGACCGTCAGGGCTGTATACTGTTCGAATTCTTGGGCCCAAACGAAAACGAATTTGAACGCTTAATGGATTTTCCCTCTCTCTTTCTTCTTCCTTTTCTCGGAGAGAAGCTCTTTTTCTTATATTCTCGATATTCGAATTAGAAGGAGGAATTGGAGAGATTCCATCGAGATTCGAAAGAGAAGGAGTCGAACGCAATTGCGAATCGTTGTATTATTAGCGAAGGTCGAGAGACTTGGCTGTGGAGGACACGATGTCGAAATTTAAACTCGAGGACAAGTCAACGAGCGTTCCTAGTCAATTACGTCCTTGATTCCACGGAAGCGGATTAGAATTTCTAAATCTCTCGCCGCGAACCAGTCGTTCGCAAGCAAGCCGGGTCGACGATGCGGTTAATTACGTTAAATACACGTTTCTTTCGATCCCGATAATTTTCGTACGAAATACTTCCCTTACGGAATACAAGAACCATGGACGGTTTATAAGACTTAGTGACAACCTGCGAGCAATAATGTAGGTGAAATAATCTCCATCTAACGGAACGGAAGGAATACTTTCTTCCAGTAAGATTTCGTTCTTACTACTACCCTTCGAAAATTCGTCGAAAAAAGCAACGAGCATTCCTAAGAAATTATATCTATACGAGAAACATGCCGATCGAGCTTAGCGAACGAACTTAGTAGTGGAAAGTCTGGATGGAATACGAGGCTAGTCAAAGTTTGTATACACTTTCCTGATTTCGGAGCGTCGAATCGCG